TAACATGTCATCTTCTGATTTTTTCATATGTAGCGGATCTGTGCTATACCTGCGCCCTTTCATCAATTTGTTAGTTATAAAATATGCTAAAAGTGCAAACTTATTCTCACAATGCTGTCGCCTTCCCGCTTTTCCAAAAATGGCTTTAGCCACTCAGACTGTTTGTTGGCATAAATGTAGGTGAGAATGACCTAGAGATTATTGCTTTAAACGAGGTAATATAATCGCACATTTCACAATAATTGCAAAGAAAACAGAACATAAGTAGTCAGGACAGATGAGACGAATTCGAAAAATGAAGATGTAGCACGCAGCGTCCAAGTCTCGTCAATACTCGATAACTACCCCTTCCTTCCTCTCCTGCCTCATATACCACTCTAGTGCCTCGAAGTCGGGACTCATCTGATTCTTTACCTCCAAGTTCCCGGAAACCACCAACTTGGAGGGGCAGAGAAGTGAGGAATAAGGAACGTCGCACGTTGGGGATTTCAACCAAGGTGAAACGTATCTGCCTTTGAGAAAATGTTTTCGTATGCTGGCATTTCTCCGTTTTTTTCCGTTTGACGTGCGCTATACGGAGAGAAATTGGGGAATGATGAAAAAAAAACTCCGGAAAATTGTTGGAAATTAGGAGATCTTGGATGGAGAAGGGGACAAGGAGTCGTAGGAAAAGAAGGACATTCGGTGGGGAGGAGGTTTGCCAGTTTAAGGTGTATGTTACACCGAAAATGAAAATATTTCTATACTCCCTTAATCTCTGCAACTTCATGCAAACACCTCTAATTGCTGGCCAAATTAAGCACTGCCCCTCTCCCGGAGTGATTCCGATACAGCTGCTCTTCTGAGGATTCCCCAAAACCTTCAAGCTCCCTACCACAACAGCTTTTATTATGTACACAAATCCAAATTTGCTAAAATGGTTGCACACGACCCCATTAAAATAATCTCTTACCTTCTGTTGAGCATAAAGATCCTTGTGTTGACGGACAAACATCCGGAAACTGTTCAAGAAACCTTCATCTTCAGACGAATCCATTACCGGCAAAATGGCACAAAGACGTCGAGGATTTCTTGACGATACGGGACACAACTCATCAAGATATTCAGATGATGACAGCTTAAATGTGAAATTCGATGAGTCCACGAAGTCCACGAAAAAGGTAGGAAAACCTACCCTTGGCAAGCTTATCCATTTGTTGTTTTCGATCAAAGTGTTCAGTGTATCCATGGTGAGTTGATTTATGTTACTGATCGACAACCTAGCAACAGGCCCACCCTAAATAATAATTCATTCAGCTTGTTCGGCTTTACCTGTTACTCTTTTCTGGGGTATAAGACGCATTGGTGCAGTTCGGCTTATTGGGACACCTAACAGTCCTTATTCCGCTTGCAAAATAGTTGATCCTCAGCCATCTTTAATATTCTTATTTTCTAACTGCCTTTAAGATACTTACTACTCAAAACAGATGGCTCAAATAGAAAGAGACAAACAAAAAATAGCAAAAGAAGTGCCTGGAAAAACAGTGGCGGCTTTCGAGGCTGAAGACGCGCCTAGAAAGGGTGCGCCTTAGACCCCCGGAATTAGGGAAGTGTACAGCGTAATCCCCAGGCGCGGCAAAAGCTAAGAAACAGACTTTGCAAGCTAGTGACGAACGCAACCGTATTCGCACCAGGACCCAACCTACCCAAAGTGGCTT